TTACGTTTCCAATCATTATCATTTGATTATTTTTATTGTATTACTCCTTTTGTTGTGTTGATATTATTTAAATGTCGCATACTATATTATACCGTTCTCGTTAGCTACATAAAATTGTTGTTGTTAGGATGTTGTTATTATTTCATATTATCTCTTATTAGTTTTATACAATTTGATGTTTGAAAAAATAATTAAAATTGGCCAATGAAAAATTTTCTCCGTCGGTTTTCGAGGCCTTCCCATTTTAAAAGACGGAAATTTAGTTTAAATTTATATTTGTTACAAGTTGAAATTGGCCGATGAAGAAATTACCATCGATTTCCAAGGCCTTCCATGCTAATAAGACGGATTTTTATTTTTAAATTAATATTTGATTCATTTATTTTTATTCATATTTATTTATAACTAACACTTTTACTAAGTGTCTTTACAGGTACTCGGAGATGCTTCCCATTGAAGTTATTCGAATTAGGTTCGAATTATACTCCTATTCATATTGTATATTATTGACGATAGGCAAATTTAGGCCGATTCCTATATTATTGTTTTATCATATTACTTGTGTATATTGCATGTTTATTATATTTGTACGTTATTTTATTCTCATCCTCAATTTGAAAAAATGAGTTCAGTCGGGACCCACATTTGTGGATTTCGAAGGATGCCTAACCCCTTCCCTTCGGAATAACTTGAGCCCCTTACCTAGAATCTCTTGATTTCGTAGATTAATTAATTAGTTTCCTAGTTTTCCTAAAATTAGGTGGCGACTCCTTTAAAATTCGTTTATTCTTAAAATTCTTTTAAAATTGAATCAATTGTTTACTTTTTGAGTCATCTCGACGTTTCACCCTATTTGAATAGAGTAGGGATGTAAACATTGATAACTTACTATGCATATGCTTGTTTGGTCTTCTTTGTATGCATCGTAATGATACAGAGGATTTGATGGTTAACTATTGAGGCTTAGTTAATGTTGATAACTTATCATGCCATATGCTTGTTTGGTGAACCGTAATGATACATGGGATTTATTTGGTTAACTCTTGAGGCTTAGTTGATATTGATAACTTATTATGTATATGCTTGTTTGGCTTTGTTTTGATTGGAATGAAATGCTTATGTCTGTTGACGGCTTAAGGTTTAGAAATTATTTGATTTATGAGTGTATGATTTTGTTGACGGTATGTGCAATTCATAATTGAATGTTGTGTATTACAACGTGGGGTGAGTCATATGATTTTGTCAATGGTATGTGCAACTCATAATTGGATGTTGTGTATTACAACGCGGGGTGAGTCATGGAAAGGGGAATATTTGGATGCGATGGCGGTGTAATAATAGTTCTTTTGTCCGAATTGGCACTGCTAGGCAAATGTTGTTGGATTTCAAATTGAATATCATTTGTTGTTAGGCTGATTTCAAACATTTTGAATTATATTCATTGACTTGAGGGAGGAGCTTTTTCATGCTTGTGTGTGTGATCCTAGAATCCATCCGATAGATGGATGGTAAAATTGTTCTACCTTAGTCCTTAACGGTTTCTTAATATTTATTTATATACATTTTTCGGTAAAGGAGTCATTTGTCAGAGGAACTATGATACAATGCTTTATTTGGATGTTAATCCACAGCTTACTTGTTTTACCTATCATTTAGATGAATCCTTCATGCACAGAATAAACAAATTCAATTGAAGTACAAGAGCAAGAAGTATAACTTCTTGTGTAGGTCAATCACAAAGTGTGCAAATTTCTTTTTTTCCTGCCTTGACAAGCCTTCAAGGCTACTTATGTAGAGTGTTTTATATCTATATATTATAATTTACGTTATGAAGTGTCTCAAAATCTCTTGAACCTAAAAAGTGATAGTCGACAGTTATCTGAACAGAAATTTCATCATTAACTTTATATGAAATATTTTTGATAAGGAAGTTTATATGAAATGCTGAAGCTTGCAGGTTTGATTTTCTTTGAGTGATAGGAAACTAGGAGTTCTGTAAAAGTTAGATGCAAACTGTTGAACCTCAGTTTTGAGTCATTTGATTTTATAAAGAAAGGTTGACTTTGAAGTTCTTCTAGGAAAATAAGTTGCCAAAGCGGCTCAATCGGCATTGTTTTGATCTTGGCTGTCGATGCTGATGCTGGGGATGAGACTACTAGACGTCTCATATAGAAACTGTCTACAAGGATGTCGAGACTATCCTAAGAATAAGCTTTTATTGGCTTTAATCTGCCTCTACTAAAGAAAATGGGGAATCATTGCTCTTCTTTTTCATTTCGTTGTCTACCTTCTTCTTGGTGTCCATCTGTCTTGCAAAGTTAGTTGACGGTGCAGCTTAATAGTTGAGAATAGGAGGCCTAACTGTGACCTCCCAATAAAGCTTTCTACCGTGCTACTTCACATATGTTTGGAATTGTGGAAAGAGCTGAGAAGATATTTTCAACTGCAATATGTGAACTTGGATATATTGAGGGATAGATTCGTTTTTCTAACCTGCAAAGAAGAGATATAAAAAGGAAACAATGTGGTCTTGTCTTTCCTTTGGCTTGCGTTGCTATGTGTGTAGGCTGTAGCCTAATTTGCGAAGTTAGTTTCAACCACTTCTATAAACTATGTTGCAAAGGCCTAACTCATATCTATCCCCTTAAAATCTCTACTCAAAACTTATTTTATTTGTGGTCCATTAGTTGGGTCTCTTGAGTCCTGACCTCAACTAATGCACTGCTTTTGTTTCCTTTCACTTTGGTAAGAGAGGAAAGTAGATAAGTTTAATTAGTAGAGGGCTAGCTCATACCGAATACGATTTATCTCCGATCAATGAGCTAAAAGTTGTACACCTTTTGTATGTTCTGATAAGTAACTTAAGTATATACCATGAGGAGTTGAACTTTTCATACTTGTTTTCTCTACTTTTAGTATCTTGTTCCAATCATGAACCCGATTCTCATATTCTTGTTCCAAATCATGTCAATTTTTATGTTTCTATTTTGACTAATTCTTGGTGTCTGATTATCTACTAATATGGAGCAGGTCACAGGAGATGATGGTGAATCTGGTGGGGATCAACATGCTTCAATCTTTGTTCTTGGCAGACAGTTATTTGTTGCCATGTTGATGTTAGATACTTGGCAATATTTTATGCATCGGTACATGCACCAAAACAAGTTCTTGTACAAACATATCCATGCTCAACATCACCGGCTAATTGTTCCATATGCATTTGGAGCTTTGTACAACCACCCTTTGGAGGGTCTGATTCTTGACACAATCGGTGGGGCTCTAGCTTTCCTTGTCTCTGGCATGTCACCACGTACCTCCATCTTCTTTTTCTCATTTGCTACGATCAAGACGGTTGATGATCATTGCGGACTATGGTTGCCCGGAAATCTCTTCCATATCTTCTTTAAAAACAACTCCGCTTACCATGATATCCATCACCAGCTTTATGGGACCAAGTATAACTATTCACAGCCTTTCTTTGTGACGTGGGATAGGATACTTGGTACTTACATGCCATATGAACTTGAGAGGAGACCGGAAGGAGGTTTTGAAGCTAAGCCTGTTAAAGATTGCAAGGAACATTGACAATACTGTTAGTACATGTTTGTCATAGAGTATGTACCACTGCAATTTTTGTCTTCTTCAAATGCTTAGTTACTCATTTAATTTGTATAGAGTATATAGTTAAAGGGTTCTGCATATATTGTTGTACTAGTTCTAGAAACATGCGTTGCACGTTTATCCCAAAATATTTCATATAATTTTTGTATTGCAAATGACATATTTTATCCCCTTCAAATCTATTGGTGTTTACTAAAAAAATATCCACCATTTTTACGATAGAAAGTACATATATCTTCCTAATAAAAAGAATATACCCTTAATTATAAAATTGACTAAAAGTGCATAAATTGTAAAAATAACTAATTATTGTACAAATATAATATTCAAATGAGGATACTAAAATACCACATGTTAGGTTGATGTCTACAAAACAACTAACCAATGTAAATTCTCAATATTAATAATCATAAAACAATAAAAAGTTATACAATAACAACAAGCAAGAAACATAAACATTAAAAAAAAACAAATAAAAAGAGACAAGAGAAGAGAGCATAGAGAACTTGATATTAGCATATGACAATATAGCTTTTTGCCATGCTTTCCCTTTTTTTTAAAATGAAATATTAGAAAGACCCTAATAGGAAAAGATAATAATCTAAAATATTAACTAAGTACTATATACATGCAAAAAATATGAACAACAAATTTATAAGTTATACATACTATTTACTTACCATTAAAAGAAATCTGGACAAATAGACATTATCCAACTGCTTGAACTTTATCTCTGTGTGTATTTTGCAATTACATATATAGTTAAGGAAGAAGTTGAGGGATCACGTTAGTGTATGACAAGACATTAAGAGAATCAATATACTTATTGGAGAGAAGTTTGATGGTCACGTTAAACATACGTCAGTTGGTGAGACTGATAATAACTCATCAAAAAAATTGACTAACAACTAGAAGAGAATTAAATGGGAGTAAAAGGAATGACGGATATAAGTTAATTTGTGTATGTTCTTTTAAAATGATAATTTAACTTTTAAAGGATGTTATCTATTATTTATTGTTTTATATTATTTGATTTATTCTAGGGATAAAATGGTAATTTAACTTTGTATTTTGAACCTTTCCACTTTTAATATAACTAGTCCTGGACACGTCCCATGTTAAATTGTGTGGCGTTATTGTATATATATAAACTTTTCACTTGATATTTTCTCGTTCTTATTGTAACTAATCTATTTGTTAGTGTGCTCCATAATAATAGAATAAATGTATTCTTTTTTTCAAAGATTAAAACCAAACCTTTTAATATGCAGAAATAATGAAACAAAAAATTAATCAATTTCAATACAATGAGACAATTTCTCATTGGGCTTAGGGTATTTGCTAGGGTTTAGCTGCTTTCCTTTGTGACTGAGAAGGAGCTTAGTTGATCGGAGAAACAGGAATTTCAGCCATGGCTAGCACCAAAGTTCAAAGGATTATGACCCAGCCCATTAACCTGATTTTCAGGTTTCTTCAGAGCAAAGCTCGGATTCAAATATGGCTTTTTGAACAGAAGGATCTGAGGATTGAAGGACGTATCATTGGTTTTGATGAGTACATGAATTTAGTTCTGGACGATGCTGAGGAAGTTAATGTGAAGAAGAAAACCAGCAAGCAGTTGGGGCGGATTCTTCTGAAAAGCGATAATATTACTCTGATGATGAACACGGGAAAATAATTTCTTGTCTGTTGGTGGCATCTTGTACGTGTTCACCAGATGCAAATTGAAACCATGTGACTTTCATTTCATTTAGTGTGTGTATGTTGATGTAGGTAAAATATTTGACATGGTTTCATTGAACCAAATGCTTTGATTGTTGTATGAATGTCTATTCATGACATAAGATCCGGGCTCCTCTCCAAAAAAAAAAAAAGAGATCATTTCTCATTCAACATTTCTATTCGTTTTAGTATTTTAGTACACCTGCATCCATAAAACATAAAGTTTTTTTTTGTTTATGTAGAATACTGGGAAAAAACACAATGTGAGGATTAAAAATATCAACTGAAAAGAATAAATAATGAACATGAAGCAAAATTAAGTCAGTCTAAATATTTTAAATACTTAAATAATGAAGAAGAAAAATAGTTGATATCTTAAATGTAATATATAATCCAACAGAATATTTATTATTTTGGTTGATTAAATGGAGTCCATAAGATTGTTACGGAAATCAATTGAAACAAAGCCAAGAATCATTGATAAAAAAAAGAGTAGGTAATGAAGAGTCATTTTAAGAACTTATAAAAATCATGACTGCACTTGAATTGGGGTTCATTTTATTATTGTATTTGAACAAATATAATAATGGTTTGTAGTACTGATAACATTAATGAAGAATATGAATATATGAAGAAAGGTATTTAAGAAAATGAAATAAATGACAATAATATAATAAGAAAAGTTATACAGTATTTATTTTCTATTGAATAAATCGAAAGAAAGAAAAGGAAGGGGGGGGGGGGTGGAAGGGTTTTAAGAAATGAAATAAATGTCAATATTTATTAAGAAAAGAAATATAAATATCTTACATATTTTTAAATTAAATGAAGAAGAGGAAAAGAAAAAAAATGGAGAAAAAAAACAAAAAAACAACAACATAATTTTGAGTAATTAGTGTACCTGATTCTTCGGAAGGAATAAATAGTATTGAATCATTCATTGTCATATTTCCACATAAAAACAAAAAACAAAAAAAGATAAATATATTTCTTGATAAAAATATGTCATATGACCTAATCGATATCCATCTTTACATATTCCAAAAAAGCACAAGGAAGATGTTACTAATAGTAAAGTGGAATAAAAGATGTGACTTTCTATATAAAATTAATAAAATATGCTAGATTGTAAAGGTCTAGAAAGATTTGATTAGTATTTTCCAGAAATGATTAGTGCTTGATTTTTTATTTTTTTTATTGTAGACATAAAATGTTTCTAAAAGATGTATATTTGCGTGCATTACATTGAACCAAAAATAAGGGCAAAGCACACAAAATGAACTCATGTGGATCTACATAGAAATAAAAAAGGCAATGATGAACAAAATTCTAACCATGCTTTTAGTGCAGCAGAGAACCCGTCACGCTTGTGAAATTCACCAAATCACTTGTGCTCCACTAACAGTCCGATTTCCCAAAGTTTCTAATGTTTGTATATGCTTATTCTCTTGAGGAATATGATTTTCAGCAATTGAATAATAGTTCTTTGAGTGCTGATACTCATGGTATTCAATCATTGCTTTTATACTCCCTCCATCCACAATTGTTTGGCAGGTATACTAAAAATAGATGTCCAAGATTAATTGTCAATTTACACAATCAAGAAATAATTAGTCACTTTTTCCAATTCTGCCCTTAATGATTGTGTAGTTCAATTGAAAAGTTATGTGGACTTTTGGTATTCTTGATATAGTAGGGTTATATTAGTCAAATTACACCTTGTATGAAATTTTCCTTGAGGAATGTGCATGACCTTACCCTGACAAACAATTGTGGACGGAGGGAGTATACATACATATATATATTTAATAGGGAAGTGCTAAATGGCTAGAAAATTTAAAAAATTATAATATTTTTTTTATTTAAAAATAAACTGATTTTTTTTCCATTTTTTAGTTAAAATATATTAAAATTAAAATGATAAAAATGTTTAAAAAGATAAAATAACATATATTCATTCTGGTCAAATTCTCTGGCCAAAAAGTTTTTTCCTATTTGTTAATATATGTTATTTCTTATATTTCTATTACTCTCCAAATCTCATTTTGTCAAATTATATAAACAATACAATTGAATAGTACTTCTTTGAGTGCTCCAACACATTTGTATTGCTTATATAATCTCACTTTTTGGAGAGTAATAGAAATTTAAGAAATAACATATATTGACAAATATATAATAAGCAATGATCGAATACCAGGAGTAATAAAAAAAAGTAATTCTATTAAAGTGATTCTAAGCTCACTTAAAAGTGAATTACTAATTATTATTTGTTAATACATCATTGAGATAAACACAAGAATTTTATGAACAAAATAGTACTCCTACAAGGGATTATTCACAATCATAAAAACCCAAGAAAATAAAATAAAACAGAGTAGACATACGGCATCCCAAAACGACCAAAATAAAGAAATGTGAACGTGTTGTTGGGTACCGAAAGAAAACAACTTCTTATCATTGAACAAATCTTGTGATCATTTGAGACTTTTAATAGATCTAAACAAAAATAAAAAAATTTACCCATCAACCATGTTACTACTCCAAAGCTCCCAAAAGTGACAACATTGGTTGAGCCAAGAGGTTCACTGCTTTCTTATTTTTGGGATGAAGACTGTTGAACTTTCTATTTTGAAAGAGTCAATAGTATGAATCTTTTCAGTTTTTTATTTAATAATTATTTAATGTATTTTTATAACTTTTTTATTTAGTTTAGGGGTAAAACGGTAATTCAACTTTTGACTTAGATTCTTCCCACTTATAATATGATAATATGTGATATGTGTGTGTATGTGTATAATTTGTATTTGTATATGTATAAAAGAGGACAAGTGACGTAATTAAACCTAAAATTAAGCTGTGAGCCGTAATTAATTCAAACTATAGCTATATTAGCTAATTAACTAGTATATGCTTGTCTTTCCGCGTAATTTTCCCTTTTTTTTTAGTCCATTTAAAAGACCGAGGCCTTTTAGCCCGGCCTAAGAAAGCCAACCTGCCCTTAAGACTTGACCGAAGCTGGCCCATGGGCCAAATGTAGTTTTGTTATTTCTACATGACTTCAAGTCTTTCTTTTTTTTTTGAGATTGAAATGAACAAATATAGAAAGTATGTTGTAGGTGCTACCAGTTAATGTTTGAACGTCCTCCTTAAATAGATATTGAAAGATTTTTCAGAATAAAAAAATAAAAATACATAGTGTAATAATTTTTTCCGTTTTTATGATATGTCAAATCAATATAATTGTATGACAAACACTACAAAAGCTTCATAAAGAGATAAAAACGTGAAAAATATTCCTCTTTGTAAAACATAATTTCTTCTTCCACTTTGTAAAGTGTAAGAAAAAGTTCCACTTTATAAAGTGTAAGAAGTAGTTCCATTTTATAAAGTGTAGAAAATAATTCCGTTATATATTAAAATATACACGTTATGAGACTAACGGAAAACGTTTAGAATATTAGATAAAGTGGAATTTTTTCTTCCACTAAGCCTATTTTAATTACTTCTTAAAGTAATGGCTTATTTTGGTCACTTTTATGTTTTTGTGGCTTATTTAGGTTCCCAGTCCATAAAAAAGTTACCTGTCAACCATGTTACTACTCCAAAGCTCCCAAAAGTGACAGCATTGGTTGAGCCAAGAGGTTCACTGCTTTCTTATTTTTGGGATGAAGACTGTTGAGTTTTCTATTTTGAAAGAGTCAATATTATGAGTCTTTTCAGGTTTTTATTTAATAATTATTTAATGTATTTTTATAATTTTTTTAATTTAGTTTAGGGATAAAACGGTAATTCAACTTTTGACTTAGATTCTTCCCACTTATAATAATACTAGA